AAACTTGATGTTATTTTCACATTTTATCACCGTATATTTATCACATAATATGAAAGAAGATGCCAATTGATAGTGGATAGCGTTATTATCTTTGAAATTACGATAATCCATATGGGACTAAACTGCGATTATAGGCAGTATAGTATTTACCATTGATTGGTTATTATGATGTTTTCTAAAACTTTGTATTAGCCCCGATGACATTTTCGGTTTTATCATAGCTTTGAAGAGGTTTATAATGCTTAGAGTGGAGTTGAAGGCCATAATAAAACCATAAATGTTGCAGGGTAGGACAACTGTTTATACTCTCTGGGGGTTCTCTGTGTTTATACTCTTTAGTATGACTATTATTGCCCTGGAAAGAACCTTTTGACGTGAATTCTAGTTCGAAAATGTTCAGAAATTTGACTCTTTTGGAAAATATTGGTGGCCCTGAAAAGGGCCGATAGTAGCCTAAAGCCTTTGGAGGATTATGATGACGTGTAGGCAGCTGGATCTGAGGCGAATGCCACTTCGACCTGTTTCGTCTACTAACGACTCTCTGATGAAAGTGTTGGGGAAGCAGCAATGCTACATCGACATGTGTTGTCTAGAAACGATTATCTGATGACTGTGTAGGAGAAGCAAAATATACGTAATTAGTGGATTTGTTAGTTATTCCGATGCTTTTGGACAATGTTTAATTTTTACCACTTTGTCAATAGTTCTTTGTTGAAAATCAACAATCAAAAGCATATCGATGCGTGGAAATATTTCTGATCGATTGGTGGTATAATTATTGAAATTGGTCCAGGGGCAGCTGAGTTATTGACGTTCAAAATCTTTCATAATTTCGTTACATGTTTCATTTTCGGTTTGCACAAAGTGTACCCTCATATAGAAATCCCAGACGTATTCCTACTTTAAAATAAAAACCAGGAAAACCCGGGAAATAGCCGTGAATTCAATTGGATCATCAAAATATATTTTATACCTATATTAATCGATTGGAATTCTTATTTTTTTTTCTTAGTATGGAATTAGAAAAAATAAGTCTGACATATCAACAAATTAACAATGTCTCAGATTTTCGAAAATTTGTCAAGTCAAGGACCGTGAAAATTTTCCTGAATAGTTTCAGTGAGAATCTTTAACAATGTCTTATCTTTAGAAACGTGATTTTTTGTTAACTTTGCAATCTTGAAAGTTTTTGGATGACATTATGATCTGGCATTTTAAATATCTAGATAGAGCTGGAATTAGGGCGTAACAGCCTTAGTAAACAATGACTTCTCTCGTTGATTTCTAGGAATTCAAGGCACGCCTACACAAACCAACAAATCCATCGAGTAGGAGAAGTCTTCCCCTACTCGATGGTGATGTCGATTTGGCCATGACTTTCGAGAAATCATCGAGAGAAGTCATTGTTTACAAAAGCTGTTACGCCCTAATTCCAGCTCTATCCAGATATATACAGTTAATTTTAAAATCACTCTATTTGCAACACGTCAATGTAGATTTGCAATTGTTATTTGAGCTAGTATCAACGTAATTATTGAAATTTTCTCTTTTAGGACTATTTTCCTCAATTGTAACTTAAAGATCGCCAATGGATACTTTTAAAATGATTTATTTTAATCTGGAATTTTTTTCCTGGAAAAACCCGGAATTCTTCGCGTATTTTACCTTTACTTTTGGAATTTTCAATTTCTCTTACTAAATAATTTGAATATTTTTCATAGATTTTATACTCGATCGAATCACAGAATATCACAGATTTTTAAACAAATATGAACCCATCCAAAAGATGTTTTCAGGGTCATGGAATTAGATTAGAATTTCTAAGGAACTCATTCCAAGGGAGTTGTGCGAAGAACATGTGAAAAACATCAAGAGAAATCTGCTTTCAAGGTAGTTCTGAGCTACTTAAGACGACATGTGAAACCTAAGGAGATGCCAAGATAGTTCTGAGTAGAATTCCAGTGAAATTATTAATAGGTTTTTAAGGAAACTTTAACGTTAATTCATAGGAATTAATTATATTAATTCCTAAGAAATTTTAAAAGAGAATTCGAATTGAGGATTGCTTTACGATGATTTTCAGGAGAACTACAAGACAATTCAAATGGAAATTCTGAGGATAATTTCTAGGAGAACAATAATACGGAACATTATCCCATGGGAATTTTCGGATAATACTTAATAATTAATAATAAAAGAGATTAATTTCATGAGAACTTGGAACTCCAACTTGGAGTTTCACCATAATTCTTAGGAAAGTTTTGAGGTTATTCCAAGCAAAATTGCAAAGGAATTAAATTCCGAATGCCGAGAATATTTAATTTAACCAAATTTTGAGAAAAACTTCAAATAAATTCCGAAAAAAAAGAAAACTTCATCATGACAATTTTTAGGGAAAAATGAGTTTCAAGAATAAATATTATAGTGGGGAATTTCACTTTAATGCTGAGGCGAACTCCAAGTGATTTTTTTTTCAAAAGTACTTTCGGGGAACTGCTGGGAAATACACTGCAAAATTATTATTAATATAAAGAGCATATCAGAGTGAATTCAGAGAGTGTTCTGCTAAAAATTTTCAAGAGTATTATGGAGCAAATTAAAAGGGGATTCCATTTTATCACAGAATATAGAAAATTTATCCACGCCTGGGATACTGAATTAACGTCAGGCGTTCAGAGGATTTTCCAGGTTTAAGCTCTCATACATCTCGCTGTTACACTTTTCAGACTATTGTTCTATCTCACTGATTCACATTCCAGAAATTTCTAGCCCCATAAGCTTGAACAGATTTTTTAGACCAGGCATGATCATAGAATTTATTCTCAATTGAAGTCACAGAATCTTGTTTTTTGTTTTCTCACATTTGGATCTTCAATTTCAGTGTAAGAAATCTTGAAAAATTTGCTATGTCTGATTTAACTAAATTATTCTTTGGAAATTATGTCCAGAACCAAAATGTCTTCTGAGTTGTTTTGAGGATTCCCCTCAATAAGCTTATGATTTCTCCGCTATTCTCCATAACAGTCTTTGAATTATGGCCTCCAGAAAATTTTAGAAATTTACTCCATGTTTATTTTCGTATTCTTAACACTCCCAACACGATGCCTGCGGTAAAATGTGTAACGGCAAACTTGCATTGTTTGAAAAATCATGGCTCAGCCATTTATTTATGAATTTCAAATCTATTCGTATTTAAAACTACATAGGGAAAATGGATCTAATGTTGGCCTATGGACCTAACATTGGGCCCATCGCTTAAAATCAGCTATTTATTAATTTTATCTAGACGAACGCATCATTGGGATAGTACTAATGGATACTTTTGGTCGCTATTGAAAATTTAGTCGATTGCTAAATTTATGTATGGGCCCAAATTAGGGGTATTTAGGCCGACATTTCATCCATTTCCCCTACTTTAAAGATTTATTCGGTTTCAGTTATGCATTTTATCGAAGGCTTCGTGTTCCAAGTGTTAATGATTCTTGCGAGAATTAAACTGAATTTCTCTTCATGAATTTCTTCAAAATTCCCTTGAAATATTCAAGGAAATTATTTGGTATGTCCTTTAGAAATTAGAGAGTATAATATAAAAAAAATCTCTGGATTTAACCTCGTAATTCTATGGCAATTTTTCGCAAAACCCAGTTGAAAGCCTTCTCCGAATGTCCTTGAGAGAATCTCTTGGAGTTTTCTTGAGATCCTCTTTGGAAAGCCTTCGAACCTTTCTAAGGATTCCCTTGTAAGTTTCTTTATGATCTCCTTAAACTCGGAAAATTAAGAGGACATTTGGAAATATGCTCAAAATTCCCTGTTATTTCTACTCTTAGAAGCTCTCTCTTAAATTCATTCAAATTCCTTTAAAATTATCTTTAAATATGCTAGAAAATCTGCATAAAGTGTTTTTTAGCTTATTCAGAAGTACTTTGCTTCGAATTTATTTTATTCTGTACATCGGGATTGTGATTCCATAGCAGTCATTCATCCCTGTTAATTGGAGTTATTATCGATATTCCCTTGCAACTGCCCTCAGAATTCTCGTTTATATTTCCAGCCGTATTTGATCATTATGAGTAGTGTCAGGATTTTCATACCCTGTGTGTAATAGTATATCACAATTATATTTGTAGTTGGGTTCACTTGAGTTCTGTTTAGTAGTCCTTTTAAATGACTCCTGAAATTCCTTCAAATTTATTTTAGAATTCGCTGGAATTCTACTCATAATCCTCAGAATAGTCTCTTCAGAACTACTAAGCATATTATTGAAATATTCTGCAAAATAACCTGAAATTTTTATATTTCAATTTAATTTCTTAAGAACTCAAAACTCATTTGACATTCTCTTTTGGAAATTTTCTAAATAGTCTTTCATAGTGTCTGAATTCTTAAGTTCTGTCCAAGTCCAAGAGTCATGATTTTTTTTTTAAATATGAGATGTTTAAAATAACGCCATGCTTAAAATTTCAATTAGTCAAGAATGTGAAAAACTAGCTTTACATCTAAATCAAAATAACTTCGTAGTCCTAGATCTCAATTATTATTCCGTACATAAGGATTTCTAAGTTCACTTTAAAACATGCAGGCAAATGAACCAGATAACCCAGTAGTGTTCGCCCTAGTGCCCTTCGAAAAATTTTTGTGTAACTTAGAAAAAAATCATTATTTATTATATACAAATTTTTAGTTTGAACACTGCTAATCTGCACGCCGTGCAAACAAAAAATTGCCCAAACTTCATTTAGCACATGATATGCAGTAAAGTGAAATGTACGAACCGAAACGGAACGCAGATGAGGCTACCAGAAGCTTGCTTGTCTGATGATCATAAGGCTACTAGAAGTTCAAATTAAAAATGAACCCCGTTAATATGCACAAAGTGTCGTTCAGATTAACGGGGGTCCACGGTATCTATTGTTATTTCATATTGAAAACCCTTCGACAATTGACTGATTTACAATATATAACTAAGCAATGCTAACTTTCGTTTCTCTAATCCATCACAGGCAAAATTACGGAACGATTCTTCCTGCACGCACTCGATCGGTACTGGCACAATTCCTGTCTCAAATGCTCCTGCTGTGGTGCCATGCTAGCAGACATCGGTTCCAGTTGTTACACCCGCAGCGGCATGATCCTGTGCAAAACAGACTACTCCAGGTACGTTCTTCATATCACATCCCTTCTACTACACGGTGCCCTCCATCAGCTGGTGGTCGTCGGCTGTGAGAGAGATGGTTTTTAATATTAATTGTTGAAAAAGGACGTTATTGGGTTGACACGCTTCATTGGTGAAGAAAAGAACAATTCAAACCCTCCGACCCCTCGCGATGGGATTTTGACCCTTTCGTAGCCGCGGACTGAAGCCATAAATCAACACATCTAGAAATGCTTGGAAAGCTGAATTCCTTTGTACTAGCGAGCTGACAAAAAAGTTAATTGAACAAAGACGGCAGTGTTGCCAGGCTGGTCTGATAGATGAAGTATTGGCGACGATTGATGTCTGGCAACGCAGTTCTCTTCTCGGGCAAGGTAATTCGATAGTTTTGTGCGTACATAAGCAGAGTGCCGTAACCACAAGACCGATCGCCGCGGGGAAGTGATTACTTTTTTTTTTCTTTCTCGATTTTTTTGGCACTTGAAAGAAGTCTTAGAAAAAAACATATTGCGTGGTTTGATATGTTTTTTTCTTCATTGGGTTGCAGAACTCGTATTTTTCTTTCATTTGAGTGAAATTTAATCCATCGTTGGGTTGGTTTTCGGCTGCACCAAAACAAGGGCCATTGTTCCAAAGGCTGAGAATATTAGGTTTCCCAATTCGCCTACGGAGTGGAAGGTCCAATCAGTTTAATTCCTTTCATGGGGCAAATTATTTTTCTTGAGTTGTTATGCCTCTTTGATGGGTTGAATGTTGAAGGGGTTTCTCCGGAACGAAAGCAACAGCAGCAGAGGTTTACAATATGTGAAAGCATCCATTTGAATGATTGGCATGTCATAGAGGACTTGTTTCCGTGATCTGTAACAAGCAAGTGCCTCTAGGTACCACCACTCTTCATCAAAAGCCTTGTCGTGCATGATCTCGGGATAGGGCCGGCTGTGGGTGCGACGGTGGCGATGCGGAGAAAAAGCACTCCTTGTGCGTCCTCTGTGTTGTGCTGTGTTGTGTATCGTCCTGCTTCTCATACCAGGACATGCTGGCAGCAGCTGATGGCACGCTACTCAGCAGCATCAGAGTATCCGTGAAAGAACTCCGGCAGGCAACAGCTGAGAGGGTGGAAGCGAAGCAATTAAATAAATTAACAGAAGAACATCCAGATCTGCCTGCTTGCCTACCCGCCCGAGTCCTTTCTATTCTTTCGTCTTTCGTCCGCCCTACATTTCGCCATCCACTTTTTCGTATTATTCGTTACAAAACAAAAAGGCGCACTTACACTAACGAGGCCCCGGGTACAACAGGCAGCAACTATACATACGAAATGGTTGCTCCTCGCAGAAATCAGAATCTGTTTCCCACTCTTCAATGATGATGACGATGCTGCTGAGGAGAAGAGTAGCAAAGCGGCAGCACACACAAACCGGGAGGAATAGGCACTGGTGCTCGTTTCTCCGAGTTGCACCGAGCTAATTACGAAATGGCAAAGCCGCTCCATGATAGCAGCCAGCACTGCGACCCCGAGTCGACTGCGCGTCTGACAGACACGTGACGCGCGCTTTTAGTGAAGAGGTCTCCCCCCCTAGGGAAGCACCGACGCCGGTGACGGACGCCATGCGATGCTTATGGCATGTGAACTACTATGGACGGGTTTTCTTACTTGTACGTTCAGGAATGGCGATACTCATCGTTGAACCTATCACGGGGACGACGCGCAGGATCACATGTATGGCCCCGTAGGTTGTTCGTTCATTATTGTGATTCGTTCCGATACGGGAGTTGGTGCTAAGTGCTAACTAAATAGCTTTGCTAGCTGACTGGAGGTAGTGCGGGACGGATTTAGTCACCCCTCGTTTGATGGCGTGCAAGACCGTCGGTAGGGTTTGCGGTAACAAATCGCTGTTCAGTAAATATGAAGACATAAATCTCAACACTATTTAGAAAACCTATTCATTTTTACCCTTCCTACATATACAAATCGGTTCAGCTCCACGAAATCGACAGCTCAATATCAGTAAGCAAAATCGGTCGGCACTAGGTCACCGAGCTCCTTGTATCACAAAACAATTATGTTCAAGTTCCCGTTCAACTTAGTGTTACTATATTTCGACCTCACAAACGACGACAACAACTGGTCTTGAGAAGGATTTGATATGGATTTCCGTCTTAATTAGACGATCTTCTATTCAGTTGGCAAAAGTGGCAGCTATCAAGCTGGCCGGGTTCCTCACTTAAGTTTTTGAGACGTTATTTGGTGAAGAATGAATTAAATTTAAACAAATAACTAGAAAGGATCTCATCCGAATGATCTGTAACTAGCCGCCCTCCATGTTTCATAAGCTTAAAATCAATCGCTCTTCCAAGTTCACCGCTTAAAATATAGATACCAGTGGCGTTTCCTTAACCTCAATCTACCTGTGCACCAAAACATCAACAATTATTATTTCTTACAATGCATAGATATCGAGTAAACTAGAAGATTAAGTGTATTTTTCAACCGATTCGAGTATGAATATGGCAATAAATCTGGTTTTGAAAGTGAGGTTACGGGACACCACTGATAGATACATATTTAAAAAATGTTAACTTTATCGCGTCGTTATTTCTATATAAAAAAATACTGAACTAAGATTTCGAAAATTCACGCGCACAAACTTCCACCCTTCATCGGCATCTTTATGATGAGGACTCTAGAATGAGGACTCATTCTCGACAATATTCACCGACAAACCGACATGCACGACCATCATTCCTGCATCGATTCCAATTACACAATCCGATGGATTGTATGTATGTATGTATTTCGAAGATTCGAAATCCGTCAAGAATTAGCTGAGCTACGATTTTTCAAACATTGCATCACATATTTTACCAGCGGCATCGTGTTCGAAGTGTTAAATTGTTAAATTATTGCATTTATTTTGTGGATGTACAACTTTTTTTTTAAATTAAGAAGTTTTTTTTTTTGACTCAAATTTAGTTTAAAGTTTACGAAATCAAACTTAAGAATTTTGCATGATTTTTGAGCAATGTTGATTTTTGCTTTATAAACTTATGTGTTACTTTTCCAATTAGTTTACTATTAAATTAACTAATTTAAAACCCAAACTTGAAAAATGTTTTAGATTAATAAGATTAATTTTTGGTGCCTCTAATGCCATGTTCAGTGGGGTTGTAACGTGTTTTGTCATACGTTTTTAAAAGACACCAGAACACATATATTGATTATTCTTGTATTTCGAAAACATACTTTATAACACATTACAGACCTCTAGTATAAACATGGCATACATTTAATCCAACAGAGAAACTACTGTTTTGACATGGCATGTCAAATAATATCATATTAAGAATTATCTTCAAATTCTTCTTAAATTTAACAGTATTATCTCTAGTTACTCTCCTCGTAATTACCTTGGAATTTTCTTTGGAATTCCCTAGAAATTTTCCTAAGAATTAACTTGGAGTTCCATCGATTTTCTTCTCAAATTTATTTTAAACTAAAAACGATTCACAGAAATCCGCTGGAATTCTTATCAGAAATCCCTTGAAATTTCCTTCTGAACTTTCCTGAAAGGTTCATAAGAATTTAATTTAAATTGAGCTTATTGTTTTACTACCCTCAGAACATCAGAACATCCTTCTGATGTGTTTGTTATCGAAATTCACTTGAAGTTCTTTTCTGAATCTTCTTCAGCATTCTTTTGAAATTATCCTTAGAACACCCAAAATTCTGCTTATAAATCTCTATGAAATATCTTTAAAATTCATCTGATGTTCTCCTCACGATTCAAATACCTAGAAATTCAATTCAGCACTTCATTTCTTCTTCCCAGATATGCCTTGAAACTCACCTTATAATTTCATAGGACTAAAGGGTGGAACGGTCAAAAATGGGTCGACTCAAATTTGGCGAATTATTTTTAATCGTGCATTTAAAAAACTTGAACACCCATCCTTTTGCAGGTCTGTGTGTACGGAATGTTACCTCTATTTTGTTTTTGTCATTTTACATTCAGTTGTCAAAATAGCGTCGAGGAACAGCGTATCACTAAAAATCTGCTATTGAAAATTTAGTCGATTGCTGAAATTATGTATGGGCCCAAATTAGGATCATTTAGGTCGACATTACATCGATCTCCCCTAAGTTGTCAAAGTTCCCAAAAAAATACTTACTTTGGCAGACGATTTGCCCCTGTGGGCTGTAATCCGAAATTTTGGTGACAACTGGCATTGGTTACCCCTTTTGTTTCGAAGAAACACAGTTGTTCTGCGCTGTTTTGGCCAGACCTAGCTTCCTGTCACTATGAGAAAACGGCTCAGGAACGGTATACCGCCAACAACGTGCAAGTCGTACCCAAAGACAAAAACCCTCCAAACTCGCCGGAGAAATATTGAGCAATCGCTAAGCGGAACCTCTAGAAAACTCAGAAAACTGTTGGAAATGAGAACCAGTTCAAAGCAAATTGACAATCAGCATCAAGTAAGGTTGATACAACAGCGGTACAAAATCTGATGGAAGGTGTAAAACGTAAACTCTGGCAGTTTGCATTTGGCAAATCGGAAGCCTAATCAAATAATTATCCTGTATTTTGCAGTCAAAGTTCAATGAGTAAAGTTTGATCAATTATATCATAACATAATCAGTGTGCACTTAATCATGATTGACCAATTTTTGACCGTTGCACCCTTTATATCTCAAAATTATCTGGGAATTCTGGACCGAGCTCCTATTGAATTTTTCCCAGGGGTTTTTTTAGGAATCCTCCTTAGCGTTTCTTTTGAATTAACACTTCAATTCCTTTTAAATTTTCTCTGCAGAATTCTATAGAGAATCTTTATATTGGTAGATCCATAAATGTTCTTTCAAGTTCCAAAACCTTAAAAAAATTCTGAGTGAAATGTGGGATCTCGATTTTTTAAGATCCCACATTTTGTAGATTTTCTCAGTCCAAGATTCACTTTTTCTTAATCTAGGATCACGAACATTTAAGAAATGCACAAATTT